CACACTGAGCAGCCTGGCAGCCTTGCAGGCCCCAGTGTCATCTCCTGGGCTCTTTCCCATCAGGGCCCCCAAATGCCACTCCCACTCTTTCTCCCTCTGCCTAAGGTGAGCATGTCACCCTTGCTGCAATTGCATTTCTCCAAGCCCCACAGGCTTGGCCCAGGTGTGTACTAGCCCCTCCCCCTCAACAGAAAACAAGACATTCATTTTCTCAGGGATTCAGGCTTAAGAGCCTGAGGTCACATATTGTAAGAATTAACCAAATTCTGGCCTGTTTTCATTCCAACCTAAGTCCAAACAGGTGGGGGACCCTGAATTCCTTGCACATTGCAGCCTTGGCCACAAGGGTGGAGGCCAAATGCTGGCTGCAGGGTTTGTTAAGCAGTCAGGAAGTCTAGTAGGGATGAAGACTGGGTTTCCAACCAGGAAAGAGGCTAAGAGAGAAGAGATCAAGGTATACTTACTATGTGTTTTCATCCTTGATCTTGTTGGTCACTGCATAAAATATCTGTCAACCAAATGCGCACAGGGTGAGCCTCAGCCCCAGCCGCCCCTTCCGACCACCACCCATGTTCAAGCACATGGAAAGGGAATCACCTGTTCACTGGCCAAAGGGCTGATGTGGAGGAGGAGGCTGTTGGAGACCTGCCCTACCACAAGGGACAGGTGTAGAACCTCGATGGTCAGCTGAGTCACAGTGATGGGGTAGTAGTTGCTATTGGAGATGTTTAAGATATTCTGAGGAGGAAGACAAGGGAAAGGGAAGTGGGAAGGATCGCCATCCTTGAAAAGAAGTCAAGTAGCTTCCCAAACGCCTGCCTCCCCCCGACCCCTGCCCCGGCCTGACTGAGCCCCACTCCCACTGTGGGTCTCAGCTGCTGAAGCCCAGTGCCAGGAGTCCCTTGGAGGAGACAATAAGCTGGCACAGGATCCAGTCTCATCCTGTGAGGCACCTCTGTTCAGTTTTGCCCACCCAGGGAGTCTCAGACCTGCCCTGCCTCCCACACCTGTGTTTTCTCTCCCCCTACACCCCCGATTCTGACCCTTCATTGTGTACCGTCCTCATCCTGCATAATCTGTTACGTGGCCCGTGGTGTCTCCTTGCTTCTCCCCAGGCTTTTACACCCTCCCCAGGTGCCATAAGATCTCTGGCTACCTATGTCCAGGACTGCAACACCGGACAAGGGCAAAGAGGAGTTGCCGGCAAGGCAGCATGGAGCTCAGGGGTGTGGGCATCCACCCACCGTTATGTTGAGGTGGATATCAGTATCGTCAAAGGCCACTGTGGAGGAGTTGAGGCCTGCAGGCTGCACGGCGATGGACCGGGGGAACAGGAAAAAGACGATGAGGGAGGAGGTCACAAGGCAGATGAGCACTGCCAGGAACACGAAGAGCTTCCTGTGGGAAAGCAGGCCCCGGGGTCGAGCAGTGCAGATGTCTGAGTACCACGGAAATGTGGGCAGAGACGGACACTCCAGTCCCTACACAAGGCTCTCCCCTGCGCAAGCCCCTTGTGACTGCACATTTACTTCCCCAGATGTGGAGGACCAGCCCAGGTTCAGACGCAGCTCAGGACTGAGGCAAGCAGCCTGGCTTCCATCCCCACCTCTCTTTACCCACTGGACCAGTTCTCTGAGCAACCCACTTAACCTCTTTAGGCCTCAGTTTCCTTGTCTGTAAAATGGAGAGAACTGGACCTACCTCACAGAATGTGTTATGGGCTAATGCAAGAAAAAGCACTAAAGCCAGCTTCTGGGCACATAACAAAAGCTCAACAAATGCCAGCTATTATCACTGGAAGACATGTCCACATGAACTTGAGAGTTCTGAATTTTAAAATTAATACTCAGAACAGGACATCGTCTGTCCTTCTAATTCAAAACTGGAATCTGCATTAAGGTGAGGTAGCACCTTGTTAGTATCTTATGCGGGGCACTGGCAGTTTCAGATGCTGGTGCAGTGGTCAGGGAGGGCAGGGTGGTGGCACAAACAGGGTCATGACCTGCCCCTCCTCCAGTGAAACCCCAGGGCTGCCTTTGAGGTTCTGAAGTATCTCAGAAGAGGGAGCAGCTGGTTTTCCATCTCAACTGGGAAGAGAACAGGCAGGTCTGAACTGCCACAACAGAGAGAAGCTCGCAGGAAAAATAACTTCCCCAAATGAACTACAGCCAAGGCCACTCCCTCCCTCCTGAAAGTACTTGCAGAGCCAAGGGATCCTCTCTGTTTTCACAAGGGAGCCACGCTTCTTGGAAGCACCAAAGCTCAGGAGGACACCCAAGTGCCCTCAAGTGGCATCTGCTATGCCCCAAACTTCTTAAACCAGAAAAAACCCCGGAAATGGAGCTAGTATATCCGAACTCAGGGAGGCTTCCAATGGAGAAGAATTGGGAATGGGGGTGGGGAGGCAGAAAGGGAGAGACAATGAGTACAGCCCCTGTGGAGCTCAGGTGAAAAGAAGGGCTTACGTGTGCCTGGGCTTCAGCCTCTGGTCCCCATAGGGGATGAGAGCCACTAGTTGCTTCTCTAGCTCTGTAGAGAGAAAGAAGGTGAGAGGGCCAAGAAGTAAGTATGCATGAGGACTGTTTGCTGTGCCAGCTATCCAGAAGGACCCCTTCACTCCACAGAGTCAGAAGCGTGCCACCTCTGCCCCAGGGCAGGACTGGGGACCTTGGACAGAGATGGCAACTCCACTCTGTCAGCTCTAAGATAGAGGTGAGATTTTTCATTAACAGGTGTGAATTTCCGGAATGCACCAGCAAATGAGACTTTGGAGAGGTCATTTGTAACTTCCTGAATCCTAAGACCCAGGGTCTGTAAGGGAGCAGGGAGGCTGGAGACCCCCTGGGCTGGGAAGAACAACTAGGGCAGGAGGGGCAGCAGGGGGCAGGTGTCTCTGCAGCGAGGGCAGATTAAAAGTTAACATTTTGCTGGCCGGCCTGGAGGGGGGGGAGGACCCAGAACTGGGAGACCCAACCCCATTCAAGGAGGCTCAGACGGGCCTGACCAGCTGGCTGCTAAGAGCTTTTTCTGGATTCCAGGCTATCTCTAAAGCCTTGGGCCACTCACCTTGAGGGATCTCCCCGCTGCCCTGGCAGGTAGGACAAGTCACAAAGCTGGCACTGGCAGCCCCTTCACAAGGCACGGGAAAACAAAAAGACTTGCTGCTTCGGGTGCTGGAGTAGCAGGCAGCCTTGCTGCCAGTGGCTGGGCTTCGGGGCAGGATGGACTTGTTCTCCTCCCGAGAGCCCAAGTGGGAGAATGTCTCACCCATCATACAGGGGGAGTTTTCGCTAATGAGAAAAGAACAGAATTCGGTGCTAAGCTTGTTAGCATAGACACCGGATGTTACTTTGGTTTGGGGTTCTCAAGATTGGCAAGGAGTGCCACCCCAATTTCAGCAAGCTCCCACCCAAGGAAGCTAGGATACGAAAAACTGAGCAGTTATATGGGACTCTGGGATCAGAAATCTCAGCATGTTTTTCATTACTGCAGGGGAGCTCAAACTGCCTGCAAGAGGGAAGAGAAAAGAAAAGCAGAAGTTATTTCACTAGAAGGGACTTCCAGAAGTGAATGGCAGAACACTTGTTTTTGTTCTGGGAAAGTTGCTGAGCTGTCACTTGCTTCAAGGGAAGGAAGTGGATAGGGCTGGCGCGCGGTGGGGGAGGCAGCAGTCCAGAGTCTCTTCACCCTCTGCAACAAGAGGACTCTGAAGAGGTGTCTAGGACACCCAAGCAGAAATGCCTGCGATCTCCCAGCCTGGGAGTGGAAGGAAAGCTTCCATTCCTGGGCCTCTGGGCAGGTGCTGGCTTAATAAGGAAGCAGGGATTCTTTGAAACAGGGGAAAGGCAGCTAGGCTGGCCACAGGTGTGCCTAAAAACCTTAAAATAGCCCTGAAAGAGAGCAGAGAAACCTCTTTCATTCTGCTTTCTGTGGGGTAGGAAAGAATGCTTGGGGAAGGATGGGAGCAATGGTCAGGGTCTATTCTTCATTAAGGAATGGTAAAGGCTTAAAAAAAAAAAAAATCCAGATTCTTCTTCAAAGGCTCAGGAGTGGTGGCAGAATGAGTAGGCGAGCCCAAAGTGAGCCTTACTCAGACCTTACTGGGTCAAAATGAAGAGTCTCACCTGATTCAGGTCTGGGATCCAGGGCACTGGTCAGCCAAGAGTGAGCTTTCTGAAATGTCTTTGGGGAGAAGGGCTTGTTGGGCAGGGCCAACAAAGGGCCATGGACTGGGGCTGGCCAGGCTACTGGCCCCCTTCAGCAGAGTCCTGGGGGGAACGAATACACAGCTTTGGAGAGAATGGGGAGCAGCTACCTCGGCCTCCCCAGAAGGCTAAGCTGCTTCCAGCCCTTACTCCTGGGCTCGGCCAGGGTCCCGAGTGGAGGAGCAGCCACAGAAGCTCGATTTCACTGAAGAATTTCACCTCCAGGCAACCCGAGGCCGTTGGTGGAGCCTGTTAACCCGCGAATGCCTGCGTAAGACTAGGAGGCAATGAAGGTCCCTCGACCCTTGCCTCCCAAAGGGAAAGAAAGGAAGATCTGAGAAGCCTTACCCCACCCCCGGGCGGTCAGCAGGACGGATACCGCTGCAAGCAGAATCGAAAGTGCGGGAGGCAAGGGGCTCGCCCCAAGCTTTGACTCAGTCTAGGGAGGCTCCGCCCCAGCTTCTCCGGACCCGCCCCCTCCCGTTAGATTGGCCGGAGAAGAGCTCATCTCTTCGAAGACCGCCCGGGTTTCGGACGCCACTTTCGCAAGCACCAGCCAGTCCAGGTAGGACTTTCGAAGAACCTTTATTTCACCATTCTCGAAGCGGCTAGGTACAAGTACAACCGGACGGACGACTGGACCTTAGGGTCCTCCTGGACCCCTACAATACGACTCAGGAGGTCAGAGCAGGTCCCGCCCGAAATCAACCCAATTAATTACACACACCCTGCCGTTCAGCCTCTACCCAGAAGCCCGGATAAAAACGTTTTAAATAAATGAACAGCCTGGTTGGCTTGCAGTCTGAATCTTGGTTTATTTAATAGCGATCAAGAAGTATACTGTAAATAAACATCATGATGACTAATGATTAATTAACATCACCATTCATTATAAATACCAACCAGGTTAAATAATACTAGTTTACTATCCTTCCCCTTCTGGATGAGGGTTGAGTCTTCTTTTTCTGCAAGTCACTTTCATGGATAGTAGTAGCTTTTAGTGTTTTTTGTTACCTTTCCTTTACCCATTATACCCAAGACTCCTTTCTGTAAACAGAATGAGGACCTGGGCCCCTGGCAACAAGCTTTCTCATTCGTTTTGGGGTTAACCCAAACCTTTTTCAGAGTCTGTTCCCATCCTAGTCTTGCAAAACAGCCTCCTCCTGTTCTAGACTAAGGCTAGATACCTTTGAGCAGATTTCAGACATTCAAAAAGTCATCAGCATTTCCTGTGCCTCACACACATTTGCCCACCCCTGAACTAACTTTACTAGATTAAGAGCCTTTCACTTTTCTTCTTTCAACTGTAACATCTGCCCTGACATTAAGAAAAAAGGTAACTGTTACATTTCTTTTCCTTTTAATAGTTTTCCCCTTCTCTATAGGATTAGCAAAATATTTCACACTACCTACTTAAATTTGTTCCCTTAAACAAAAAAAAAAATGTATGCAATATTACTACAGTAAACACTGCTCAATAGGTGCTGGTGGGTTAACTGAGCACACTCCCTCCTCCTCTCACTGAAGTGCAGAGACCCAGAAAGTGGATCTTCTTGAATGTACCAGTGGGGTCTTTAGAAAACAGTGCTGATTTACTATGTCTTACAGGGAAATGACTTGTCCTTGAGCAAGGAAGATTAACAAGACGGGGCTCTGGGTGTCATTTCAATACCACATAGGTATGAGGCTTGGGGTAGGCTAGAAAAATTGTAAGAATTCTTGAAAACAACTTCCAAGGTTAATTTCTTTTGAAAACTGACAACAGATATCCCCATAGAAACATCCACATTTAACCAAAGAAAAATACTTAACTTTGATACAAGCAGAAAGAAAAATGGTTCTATAGGAAGTTCAAGTCAATGCTCTTCAATGCACTAAAATGGAGATAGGAGCTTTGTCCAAATCAACTGAAAAAGTTTTCCTACAATTCATCCAATGTCTCTGTTTTGGTTCTGGTCTTTGATTTGCTCCAGAAAATACTGTAATGCAGGTACTGTCTTGGTAATTCGATAATGGGTTCTATATAGATTCATCAGATTAAAAAAATCATCCAGGGCTTCTCCCCTACGCCCCCAGGACAGAATAAAGATCATCTCTGAGCAGCAGGCAAAGTGATTTAATACAAGGCCACTCCTCAGTAGCGGTGGCTGTACCAGTCATTGTTGTTGACCTGAAGCAGTTCTGTCACAACCTGTAAGATGTTATAATTGTGCTTCTTCAGCAGCCTGAGGTTCAGCTGCCTGTCACAGAATCCCATTTCGAAGAGATGGGCCATCAGAGCTGCTGTCTGATCTTCAGAAACTATTGGCTGTATAGAGTCAAGAAAAGCAGAACATTTTCTGAATCATTTATGTGCCTCGTAAATTGTTATCTTGCAAATCATACAAATCTTTCCAGATCTATTTATTAGGGAATTCAAAGCAAGGGTATGGATGGCACTCCTGTCCACCTGACACTACTGGGCCCGTGAGGGAGGACTGGGAATGCCCAGCTCTGGATTCTGTAGGTTTATATCCGAAACCGGGCAACTAATGAACTGTCTTCAGAACTAGGAGGAGGAGGAAGCTCCAGAGGGGGCATTTGGAAGGAGGCATTCTTTGGCCTAATGAAGGAAAAGATACAAACAAGCACTGGAAACTCTGTGAAGATAAAGTTAACTGTGTGGACGGGGCCAGTGTAGGCAGGAGCAGAGACTGTTACTAGGAGAGTGTGGTCAGCTATGCAAAGGAGCTGAACAAGAAACTGCTTGGGAAATGACATCTTGGGTGACCTTCTTGGCATTTTTTCCCCTTTTTTCTTTGTAAAGAACAGAAATAATCTTCCAAAGAGGGAGCTAACAGTCCTTTACCTCCCTCTTTGGGCCAAGCCCTAGAGTGGACACATAACCTTCCCAAATCCTAACACTTTGGTTTATCTTTTTTTTTGTTTGTTTGTTTTAAATTAACATATAGTATATGAGTTTCAGGGGTAGAGTTCAGTGATTCATCAGTTGCATACACCTAGTGCTCATTCCATCACATGTCGTCCTCCTTAAGGCTCATCACCCAGTTACCCCTCATCCAACCACCTCCCCTCCAGTAACTCTCAGTGTGTTTCCTAGAGGTTAAGAGTCTCTTATGGTTTGTTTCCCTCTCATTTGTTTTCCTTTCCTTCCCCTATTTCATCTGTTTTGTTTCTTAAATCCTATAGATGAGTGAAATCCTATGGTATTTGTCTTTTTATGATTTATTTCGCTCAGCATAATATCCTCTAGTCCCACCCATGTTGTTACAAATGGCAAGATTTCATTCTTGGATTACACTAACTCTTACCATTTACTTCCCAACTGTGTTGATCATCAATTAATTTTTTTTTTTAAGATTTTATTTATTTATTCATGAGAGACACAGAGAGAGAGGCAGAGACACAGGCAGAGGGAGAAGCAGGCTCCATGCAGGGAGCCTGATGTGGGACTCGATCCTGGGTCTCCAGGATCATGCCCTGGGCCGAAGGCAGGCGCTAAACCGCTGAGCCACCTGGGCTGCCCTCAATTAATTCTCTTATGTAGGAAAATGGAATATAAATTATTAAATGGAAAATAAATTATGTAGGAAAATTGAATATAAATATAAAATACCTCCTGTTTGGCAGGCTAGTTGAGAGGATTAGGACAAGAGTGTGTACATGTGTCGAGCACAATCTCTGGCATTTCTCTCTATACCCAACTCCACTGTTCCTCTCTTACTCTCATTTCAGAATATATTATCCATCCTTTCCAGGATAATCCTACCACAAGTCCATTGCTTGCTATCTCATGATCTCTCACTATCTCAGAAATCTCTTTCTGTGAATTATCCTCTCTTACCTTGACCATTAACTCATTCCCTGTGTGCTCCAGCAACTTGACAGTGAGGCATACTTGCACTCCCCAAGTCCTCCTCACTTGCTCTCTTTCTCTGGGGGTGTTGGCACCTCCTTCTCATTCAAGCTCCCTTCCCTGGCTCCAGAATATCCTCCTATGTCTCAGGTTCCCGGACAAGGCCCTTCTTCTTTCCTGGATCTTTCAAGGCTGTTTTTTGCTTTAGACCTCATCTTCCCAGAAACTCTTACCCAATCACATGGCTTCTACTAGAACCTGTATACACATGACCTGACCTCTTCCAGGCCAAACCTTTCCTCTGTGAGCCACAGGCACATGCCCAGCTGCACTCTAGGTAATTTTACCTGGATATGCCTCAAATTCCACACCATCCAAATGGACCTAATTTTCTTCTTCTCCTGCCCAAATAGATCCTTCTTCCTGTACATCTTTCTTAATGGATGGTACTATCCACTGTCCAAAGCCGGAAACTTGGGATTCCTCCTTGACTTCTTTCCAGCCTCTTAATCCTGGTCTTCAAGATCTGCTACTTCTCTTTCTCTTCTACCCTTTTCTTCCATCTACACATGGATTCTCAAATGGATTTCCTTAGGGCTCCCCTCAACCTTCGCACTGTAGTGGAGTTATCTTACTGGGTACGAATCTAATGTTAATTATTTTCCTATAGCCCATTCACTGTCCCTTCCCACTAGCCTTAAAATAATATCCGAACCACTTAACACAGCACCCCACCTACATAAATTGAGTTTTTTCCTTCTTCTCAGCCCAAATTCACCTTTAAAAAAATTATTTATTTATTCATTCATTCATTCATTCATTCATGAGAGGCACACTCAGAGAGAGAGACAGAGACATAGGCAGAGGGAGAAGCAGGCTCCCTGCAAGAAGCCCGATGCAGGACTCGATCCTGGGACTCCAGGATTACACCCTGGGCCAAAGGAAGACGCTAAACTGTTGAGCCACCCAGGCGTCCCTCAAATTCACCTTCAAGCTGACATTTCCAACTCTTTTTACTGGCCAGTCTCTGTCACAATGCTCTTTCTATTCCTCTTTCCTGACACATACTCATTTTGTCCTTTTTTTTCTTTTTTTTTAAAGAGATTTTATTTATTTATTCACGAGAGACACATAGACACAGGCAGAGGGAGAAGCAGGCTCCATCCAGGGAGCTTGACATGGGACTCGATCCTTGGTCTCCAGGATCACGAACTGGGCTGAAAGTGGTGCTAAACCGCTGAGCCACCCGAGCTGCCCTCATTTTGTCCTTAAGGACTCAATTCAGGCATCATCCTACCAGGAAGCCTTCTCTGGCCCATGCAGAGGCCCACAGAGAGGTGTTTCATGGGAGAACACTGGCGCAGGACCTTACATGGTACTGTTTATCACGTTTGTGTCGCACAGTCTTTGGGCAGGGACTGGTGTCTTTTTCACCTTGTAGCACTGGTACTTGGAAGAGCCCCCCACACATAATAGGTCTTCTACAAACATTAGGTCTTTTTCCTTTCCTCACTTAAATAACTTGGCTAAAGTTCTACAGCTAAAAAGTGGCAGAATGCTATACTACTCTCCAACCCAGACAGGGAGCATCATTGTCACTGGTGACGTGGCTTTGGTAAAGGAAAAGAAAACATACACTGACCTGGGCAGTGACTGGTGGCCCAGCAAACAAGGCCTTATACGCAGAAGCAGCAACAGATAAAGCCCCCTTCACCAGTCCTCCAGCAATGCTGCTCCCATGGTGGTGGTGCCTGGGGAGGAAAACCACATTATTTCCCTAAAAACCACAAGCCATTATCTTCCTACAAGATAATCTGGGCTCTAATCCTTGAAAGAAAATGGATTTCCCTGGGGTGTGACCCCAGGAGAATGTGACCGTTTTTCTATTAGTTTTACAGCTACAAACCTTGGTTAGATGTGGAGCTCAGCTCTACTGCTGCAAAATAAGGGCATACAGAAAACACATCCCCTCTGGTGAGTATACCAGCTTTCTGTCCCAGCTGAAAACTATGTGGTCAAGGGCACAGAGGGGGTATTTAGCAGTCTGCTCAGTTAACCATCTTAGAGGTATACCCCAAAGGAAATGTGATTTTCTGGGCACTGTAGCGAGGGAGGAGTCCATCTTACCAGTGATCTGAGATGACTGGGAGCAGTGAGGCAGGTGTGCCTAAGAAACCGTTACTAAGATGCACAATGGGCTTGACCTTCTTGCCTTCTCTTTTGGTACTAAGGTGAGCTGAATTTGAGAACACTGGTCTGGAATACGGAAACTTTTTCTTTCCCCAAAGATTCTATTTTTTTTTAAGTAATCTCTACACCCAATGTGGGGCTCAAACTCATAACCCAAGATCGAGTTACATGCTCTACAGACTGAGCCAGCCAGGTATCCTGGAATGTGAACACTCTTAAATATAACTGTAGCCCTCTGTTCAGTGGTGCTCACAAGCATCAGAAGAAATAAGAACAAGAAGGAATGATGGCTCTCCTTTGCCCTCTGGAGGTGGCACATGCTTTGAGAAGCTTATTTAAGCAGAAGCAGTATTAGGATATCCACCTGCTTCTGAAGAGGCTGCACAAGGTCCAGTTACCTTGAGTGGTCATAGCTCTTCTGTCTGCTGTTTACAAGTCCTGATGAGCCTCTGGGCTCTAAAAGCAAAAGAGCTATTGGTTAGAAGCAGCATCCACAAGTGCCTACTGTTTCTCACTCAGAGTGAGTCTAGTTTTGAGAGGCAAGCAGCAATCTGATCACAGCACTTAGTCTTTTTTTTGGGGGGTCGGATTTCGCAAGTGGTTTTAAGTGATAAGAAAGAACTATCCAGAATGCGATGCAAGGTGACTATTTATTGAGCCAGAAAAACTCGGTCTATAATCTTATCAACCCATTTATTAGTTTCAAAATACTTTTGGGGTTTTGTTTTTGTGATTAAGAGTGGGAAGTGACTTTGAAGGTTTACTAACAACTTCAAGGTGCTATTCTCCTTAATTTGGAGATAAGAAAACACCCCGTGGGTTTTATGACTGTGCTGAACTGCTTCAAGGTCACACAGTGAGGAAAGGTGGAGCTGGGCCTGAAACCTAGACTAGTCTAGCACCACAGTCTGTATTCTTTCCACTGTAGCACAATGCCCACCTCTGTGAGGTCTCATTTAATAAATATTAAGCTGGAGAACAGAAAAGGAGGGAGGGCCACAGAAAAAAGGGCAAGTTTCTGAATAATGCCAAGAATCACAAAGACACAATGCCTATTTATGCCTGGTGTCATCAGACACAAGCACAGAAAAAGACATCAAGTGCAGGCTGGTCATTACCTCCTCTGATCTGATCAGGGACTGAAGAAACTTCTGGTATGATAACTGGTAAATCCACTCCCGGGGAACCATCAGGCTGTGCACAAGGAGGGCTCCTTTCAGAAAGACACAATATTGAAAGTCAGTTGAAAAGGCACCTATGGGAACACTGGAGAAACAGTGGACGTGGCACAGCAGTACCAGATTCTCTATAAAGGCTTCACTTTTCTGATCCAGATCTCATGTCTGAAGTAGGGATCAGGTAGAAAGGGCTCACTCTACTGGTTTTCCTTTTCAGTCATAGTCAACCTGGAGAGAGACCAGCTTCAGTTGGGTGGCTCCACGCCTACATCAAGTGGTACTAATAAAGGGAAATGTTTAGCTCCCTGAGAGTGGTTTAAATCCTAGTTAAGGCTCCACCATCTGCCATGCCACAACAGAGCAATGACACACACAAATTAATAGATAATGAAAAATAATTGTACTCTCATTTTAGAATATGTGTTTTTTATAATAGATTAAACATCCTATTATACTTTGGGTTAACAAGAAAATGCATTTTTGCTGTCTTTATCCATGCGTCAATAGAGTGGGGAAGGAAGGTCCAGGGATGTATTTCAAAACTGGCTCTCTTAGATCCAGGGTTCCAACAGCAAAAGCAAAAAAAAACCCCTAAAACAAACCAAACCAAACCAAACCAAAAACTGGCTCTCAACAATCAAAACAGAAGTAGACAGACTATACAAAGATAATTAAGAATAAGCACAGCTTTAAATTCAGAATCCACAAATTCTGGGAAATACAGCTTTTATTCATCTAAATTCAGGCTTTCCTATGGGAAATAATCTCTTCCCATTCTGACAAACAAAACAGGTTCTGAGATCAAGTTGTTTCCTCTCTATTCCACCTGTAAAGAAGAGCCCAGCTGAGTGGGGTGTGGATGGTACCTGGACAGTTGTGGTGGAGGCCCCACCACCTCTGGGGTCAGAGGTACTGTGTCCAGAGTCTGTGAGGTCATGAGGATGTCATTGATGCTCTGCCCCTGCAGCTGGTTCTCCCCTTCAGCGAGCCTCTCCCCAGCCTCAACCCCAGGTTCACCTTCAGCCCCTCGCTCTAGGCCTGGCTGTGAGAGTGCAGAGCTGTACATGGAGTCGCCCAGGGGACGACTAGTGTCAAAGCACTCAGGCAGGATGATGATGTAATCCTCTGAAGAAGTAGAGGACTGACTCTGAACTTCATCTTTGAGCTCATCCTCCTCTTCCTCCTCCTCCTCGATGACAGCTTCTTTGGTGTTATGGACAACATCCTCCTGTTCATCTCCAAGTGGTCCCTCTTCAGGGGAAGCAGATTTCACTAGAGGATGAGAGCAATCAATTTTCAGCTATAAGCTACAATCATGAAAGCCAGAGTAGAGGGATGGCCAGAGGGAAGGGCTGCTGCTAGAACCACTTGTGGCCACATTAAAAGTCTGAAGCCTAAGCAAAGCCAGAAAGAACCAAGCTCACAAGGTACAGAGAAACACCAAGGCCTCTGAGAAGCACCATGAATCTTAAAAACAAATCAAAACTGATACATTAGCTAATAGAGCTATAACAAGAGAAAACATTAAGTGGTTAGTACCACAGGGCTATACGCTTACTTTCCTCCTTTTCTTTGCAAAGTAACGGCTAGTCATGGCAGAAAATTGGCAAAGTGAGGATGACGGAATAAAGAAATATCTATAATCCTTTCAGAGATAACTACCGTGAACTTTTGTTATGCATTTGTACATAAGCGTGTGTGTGTATGAGAAATGAATGTATGTGTGTGGAAAAGGAGTGTGTGTATTTTAAACAAAAGTGAGACAAATATAGTATTTAAAGGTATAGATAAAATTTCATTATAATAAACATAAACTTTCCCACATTATATTGATGAACTAGAATTTGAATTTTTGGATAGTTCTTGAAATACACAGTATGGGCTCTACCTATCTTATATCTAGAAATTTCTGTTATAAAGGAAATTGACTACAGCAGAATTAATTAATTAAAGATTTTACTTATTTATTCGTAAGTCAGAGAGACAGAGACAGGCAAGACAGGCAGAGGGAGATGCAGGCTCCTTGTGGGGAGCTCAATGCAGGACACAATCCCAGGATCCCAGGATCATGCCCTGAGCTGAAGGCAGATGTGCAACTACTGAGCCACCCAGCGGCCCTGACTATGGCAGAATTTAACCTTGGGAAACTTAGTTTATTTAGTTTATTTTTTTATTTTTATTTATTTATTCATTGAGACACACACACACACAGAGGCAGAGACACAGGCAGAGGGAGAAGCAGGCTCCATACAGGAAGCTTGATGCGGGACTCGATCTGGGGTCTCCAGGATTACACTCCAGGCTGCAGGCAGCGCTAAACCGCTGCGCCACAGGGGCTGCCCCAGAAATTTAGTTTAGTATTCCTGCTTCTGCCCACTATTCCTGGACTGTCTTTGTTTTGTTTTTTAAAGATTTTATTTATTTGAGAGAGAGAGAAAGTGTAGGAGCAGAGGGGGAGGAGCAGAGGGAGAGAAAGAAGCAGACTTCCTACAAGCCAGGACCCCAATGCCATGCGGGGCTCAATCCCAGGACCCTAGGATCATGACCTAAACTGAAGGCAGATGCTTAACCCACTTGAGCAACCCAGGGCACCCTGTCCTGGACTGTATCTTTGGAGAAAGAACACAACTCAGCTGCAATGGAGGTCTCTGCTGAAAAAGCTCTGTCAACTTACAGGAAGACTCCTCACTGCAGAATCCAGGCAGCACAAGTAGCTGCTGTTCCTCTGAGTTATGTAGCTGTAATTCTGCCCCTGAGAGAGTGCGAAAACGGGTTATGGTAGCAACTTTCCTCCTGAGACTATAATTAAAATAGTCATGTAGTGTGTGTGGAATCTAAAGAAACCACGATGATCATCCAAATTCTAACAAAGACCACTCAACCTCCATTCTCAGCGAAGAAGAGCACTTCTTCCTACTCAGATTGTGTAGTCATAATTCAAACACAGCCCTGCTGGGTGGGAGGACTCAGGGACACTCACTGGTCAGGGACTTCTGTCTGCAAGGTGGGTTGTGGTCTGGGGCAGCATCCAAGGTGAGGGATCGGATTACAGTCTCACACACGAATTGGGTCCCACTCAGATCATCTTCTGCTTCCTCCACTGAGGTGACATTCTGAGGCTTCCTCTTTACTGAGACGGTGGGATCTGAAAGACACAAACCTTGTCTGCACTTGGTGTTGAGGAGCTTTTTTTTTAAAAAAAAGTTTTCATTTATTTATTCATGAGAGAGAGAGAGAGAGAGAGAGAGAGAGAGAAAGAGAAAGGCAGAGGGAGAAGCAGGCTCCATGCAGGAAGCCTGATGTGGGACTCGATCCTGGGACCCCAGGATCACGCCCTGGGCCAAAGGCAGGCACCAAACTGCTGAGCCACCCAGGGATCCCTGAGTGTTGAGGAGCTTCCTCCAGTCACGTATCCATACTGATCCCATGCCATGGGACAGCTGCTATCTGTGCCATGTGAAGGTGAGGGGACTTCACAAAATGAGAGGGTACAGAAAACCCACTCACATGCTAAAGTGAGGGTAGGAGGGAATATGTGTGAAAATGGTGTAATATGGAAGGGGACAATACAAATACTTGTCAAATATTTAACCCCTTACCAGGAAGCACTTTAAATCCCGCCCCTTCGCTCTCTTCCTGAATCTGCCCCAAGCCTGGCTTCTCTATTAAAGGATTGTCATGCGGCAGAGGAGACATGCAGGGAGTCATATCTGGAGAATGAAGACAGAGGAACCATCAACCAAAAAAAAGCATCATATCATCAACAGTCAGTGTCTAGCAACAGCACCTCACAGACTTCTTGCCTCTTGCAGGACTGAAATCAATCTAGGTATGCTTGGAGGCCTGTTGTAAAGAATTTCTCCAGATCATTAGGTGCGGAAGTAACTCAGATCAATAAATACAGGAAGGATCAAAGTCATCTGGCCTGAGAAACCATGGCCAAGACGCAGGACCAGGAATGTAAAGGAATAAAAAAAATAACAATTTAAAGAAAAATGGAGAGGAGGGCTCCCCCCCAACTGTATTTTTTTAAGTAATCCCTAAACTAAATATGCAGCTTGAACTCACAACCCTGAGACCAAGAGCCATACATTCCACCAAATGAGCCAGCCAGGAGCCCTTATGGTGGGGAAGTTTTGCATAAACGTGTATTGTTGACTCTGATAGAGGACAGGGAAAAGAAGGAAAATGGACCCATGGGTGCAGTTTTAATGTCACATGGTAAGAGAAATCCTTGCCATGTATTACACCTCAGAATAAGACATTCACTACTAGAGTTTAGGCTGTAGCACTTTTGTGTCTGTTAATAAAATAAACAACATGGGTTGAATGACATTCTTACCCACGGGAGTATTGTGGGGCACTCTTTCCAACTCTTGGACAATGTTTATATCCAACAGCTCAAAGGACAACAGGTCCTAAGGACAAAAAGGGCAATGTTAGGCTACCTGCAGTGGATGCTTGAGCCAGGTTTTGTCTTGAGGGGACTTGTAAGTTACTTAGCTCCACACTTTCCTGGACTCTGTTCAAATTCATGCCTCACCTCAGTCAAGGGAAATCAAGAAAAGTGGGATGGGGACGAGACGTTCAAATACCCAAGGGGCAGGAAAGAGAGAAAATGCAGTGGGGGTCAAAGTGAACTCAAAAAGCAGAAATGCAGAGGCAACTAAAGGGAAGCTGTGGGGAAGCCCAAGACGGAGTTCCTGATTCAGAGAAGAAACATTTAGTTAAGAGGCTTGCTTCCACAGGTGATCCCCTTGCCATTCGAGGCATATGATCGAAGTGGGCCAATCTCTAACTTGTGGGACACTGCCCTGTGGCTTTACCACCTTCTCCTCAAGAGGGTAAGGACTCTTTTTCCATAACCTTTTGTCCCTTGCCCCCCAAAGTGTTCAATCTTCTACCTGGGCAGTCAGAAGGTCCACAGATGGGATGTAGAGCTCTCTCTCGCTGGCCACATTTTTTGTCTTCTGTGGGATGCAGGTTCCTGTCTCTTTGGTCTGCTCAGTCACTTCATCAAGCTGAATTTCTTCTTTAGCCAGAAGAAAAGCTTCCTGTACAGACAAACCGTTAGGACAAATTTTAGGCTCTCAACTGAACTCAGAAGGTAAGTGTACAGTTGCCTCCCTAAAAACCAAAACACTATGGCACCTCTACATTTTTAAAAATTTATTTTGAGATCATTTTAGATTTTTTTTAATTTTATTTATTTATGATAGTCACGCAGAGAGAGAGAGGCAGAGACACAGGGCGAGGGAGAAGCAGGCTCCATGCACCGGGAGCCCGACGCGGGACCCGATCCCGGGTCTCCAGGATTGAGCCCCAGGCCAAAGGCAGGCGCTAAACCGCTGCGCCACCCAGGGATCCCCGAGATCATTTTAGATTTAGAGAAAAGTTGCAAAATAAATTTTTGCAAGTGAGGGTAGGTGAGGGGGGAAGAAAAAAAATACTACCCCCTAATAAAGAGAAGTTGCTTAAACAAACTACAGTAACTAAAAACAAGAGCAAGATTTCATTAGTATTTAGGGAACATATGCATGGGATGTTCAGGAGAGATGAGTGTTAAGGAGCAAAGCCATCAGTCCAGGGCAGCCCTGGTGGCGCAGCGGTTTAGCACTGCCTGCAGCCCAGGGCGTGATCCTGGAGACCCTGGATCGAGTGCCACATCAGGCTCTCTGCGTGGAGCCTGCTTCTCCCTCTGCCTGTGTCTCTGCCTCTCTCTCTCTCTGTCTCTCTCATGAATAAAAAAAAAAAAAGCCACCAGTCCAGCTGTTCAACAGCCCTGTCTTCCCTCATGCAGCAGAGGCTGGCCAAAACATCACTATGAAGGGATGCAAAGGCACCAAGGGACAGCTGTACCAAGATCCTAAGGACCCGCAAACAAAGCCCAAGGAATGGGCCCAATATAAGTAAGCATACTGGTGTTAGGGGGAGGAGCTACCCTTTTCCTGATTTCTGGAGGAACGACCAGCTGTGAGAGGGCTGTTGTAGCTTTAGTCGCCCCTACCAATGCTCACCTCTTGCTGGCAGGAGAGCTCATCGGCTTTGCTTGAGTGAACCATGCCCTTTTCAATGTTCTCAGGGCTCTCTGTGGAGGGGAAAGGATCCACTATGATACTGCACCAGACCCGAGGTCCAAACTGCTGGCCTTTGTGAGAAAGACGCCAATGGGAAGTATATGTTCCCTCCAAAGCTGGGGCAATGAACTCCACAGACACCACCCCTACATGGCCGGCCTTTAGGCATGGAACCAAAACATCTTTCTTTTCTGTAGAAGCCAAGGTTAAGTTTCCCCACATGAACTTGAGCTGAAAAGAACAGGGACAAGAAAAAAACAGCTTGTCAGCTGAGCACTGCCACTTCAAATTACCTCATCTTTATTCTGTGGGGGAAAAAAATTACCTTTGTGTCTCCACTCCACTTGACATTTCCTGTATTTTTCATCCTCCAGTGCTTGATAAACTTGGTTCCTGGCTGAAGATGAGTCCCATCGGGCAAATTCTCATCCACAAATGCTGCACTGAGGGTTGGCATAACTGGGGCACAGGGCTGCAAAGGGAGCCTGAACAGAAATTCAGGTAGTCACTTGTGTTGGGTATAATGGCTTCTGAATATTTAACCCTGTGGCTCAAGAGTCTGAGTAACTCTTGATGTACTAATGCATTTGCCTAAAAATAATACTAATAGGGGGTGCCTGGCTAGCTCAGTCAGTAGAGTAGACTCTTGATCTAGGAGTTATAGGTTTGAGCCTGACACTGGGGGTACGGATTACTTAAAAATAAAACCTTATAAAAATACTACTAATATAATTCCCCACATACGCACACACGCTCTCTCTCTCAAATAAATCTTTTTTTTTTTTTTTTTTTTGGCATCCCTGGTGGATCAGTGGTTTAGCACCGTCTTCAGCCCAGGGTGTGATCCTGGAGACCCGGGATTGAGTCTCACATTGGGTTCCCAGAATGGAGTGTGCTTCTCCCTCTGCCTGTCTCTGCCTCTCTGTGTGTCTCTCAAGAATAAATAAATAGAATCCTTAAACACCCCCCCCCCTTTTTTTTATTTGAGAGAGAGAACACTCGTGTGTGCACAACAAGCAGAGGAGGAAGGGATAGATGGAGAGGAAGAAGCAGACTCCCCACTGAGCACAGAGCTCAACACAGGGCTCAATCCCAGGACCCTGAGATCATGACCTGAGCTGAAGTCAGATGCTTAACTGATTGGCCACTCAGATACTCCATAAATAATCTTTTTTTTTTTTTAAAGAGTTTATTTATTTATTCATGACAGACACAGAAAGAGAGAGGCAGAGACACAGGCAGAGGGAGAAGCAGGCTCCATGCAGGGAGCCCGGTGTGAGACTCGATCCCGGGTCTCTGGAATCATACCCCAGGCCAAAGGCAGTGCTAAACCGCTGAGCCACTGGGGCTGCCCAAATAATCTTAATAAATAAATAAAAATAAAGAAGAAGACAGATTTGGGTACCTGGCTGGCTCAGTCAGTAGAGCATGCAGCTCTTGATTTCTGGGTTTTAAATTTGAGCCCCATGTTGGTTATAAAGATTAGTTAAAAATAAAATCTTAGGGGCGATTGGGTGGCTTAGTCAGTTAAGCACCTGCCATTGGCTCAGATCATGATCCCAGGGTCCTGGGATCAAGCCTCACATCGGGTTTCCTGCTCCGTGGGAAGGCTGTTTCTCCTTCTCTCTCTGCCTGCCACTCCCCCTGCTTCAGCTCACTCTCTGTCAAATAAAATCTTAAAACAAAACAAAACAAAAAACAAAAACAAACCACAATTAAAAATAAAATCTTAAAAAAAATAAAAAGACAAATCTCACTCCTGAACTGAAAAAACTTTGGTAAGAGTAATGGTCCATAAATAAGAGAACTGGAGAGCCAGGCTCTTCAAATCCCAACTGCCTCCAGTGAAGAAAGGTCATATCAACCAGTATGGAACCTCATTGGCTGCTCTAAGTGTCAACAATGACTATCAAACCACCCTTTAGAATGCTAGATCAGAGAATGGGAAGTTTTAATTCTTTCCTTTTTTTTTAAGATTTATCTGAGAGTGCGTGAGCAAGCATGTGTACACACACTAGTGAGTACACGGAGAGGGAAAGAGAAACTTCAGCAGACTTCCCATGAAGCAGGAGCCTGATAAGGGGCTCGATGTCAAGACTCTGAGATCTTGACCTGAGCTAAGTCGATGCTTAACTGACTGAGCCACTCAGGCACCCCAAGAATGGGAAGTTTGAGTCTGGGTGTTAGGGGCTGCAGATAAATAAGAGAAAACCTGATTGAAGTTCTGGTTTCGGAAGGCTGGACCTCCAGCCTAGGTGCCCCTCCCTTGGGCTTACATCAGGGTGTTTGACTGCAGCAGGCTCTCGGATCGGCCTAGAGGGGACCTGGGGCTCTGGAGTCCATGGATGGAACTCCACAGATGAATCTTCCTGTGGAGCTTAAGCTGTTTTTTGAGTTCTTTGACCTCTGCCTTTCGCTGTTTCTTCTCAGCTCGCAACCTTTGCTTTTCTGCTTTAAGAAAATTCTTGTCGACCTGTTTCTGGAGCCTGTGAGGTAACAATAAAAAGTCTTAAAAAAAAAAAAACCCAAAACCTCACAAATATTGAAGCTATTTTGAGCCACTGGTAGCCTCCATCAGTGCCAGCTTCTAGCTTAACTTCTACAGTTCTCGTTTCTGTCTCATTAGCTTCAGCTCATTGTCCCCATTATCACACATAACTAGAAATGCACAGGAACTAAGGAGACTGTCTGCAATTTGATCCCTGCCCCATCACCACAACGGAGACACCCATCAGAGAACAAGCCTCCTGTGTACTTATGTTTTTACCTGGCTTGTTCCAGAGCAGCGGGAAGACGAGGGCCAGGGAACCTTGGGTGAGAGAACGCTTCAGAAGAACCCATCACAGGTCTCCGCAACTTCAGCAGGATGTGGTTGGAGTCATGGGTATATGGCCCCGATTCACAATCTTCACAGATATTATAGGATGGGCACAGGCTGTGGGGAAAAGCATGACAAGTCCTGGTGAGACAGGAGACCAGACTTCCATACTGGCTGTATTACCAGCTGGGTGTGGTAACCTGAGCATGTCACCTGGCCATGCTCTATCTCAAGTTTCCTTATTAATAAAATGAAAGTAACAGCACTTAACATGTATCTGTTTCAAAGGACAATCTATGGGAGGAAGCAAAATATGAAAGCATTTGGAATAACAGGGTGATAATCCCTGATGATGTAATTTTGCCTTGGGGAACTTTGTCTGGTTCTGTTAGTTCAAATGCATATGTGAATACAACAACAATCTGAATAGTTACCCTTTGTATAGTATTTTTTTGTGGGTGACAAACAGCTTATTTCTAATCCAGAGCAGGTATCTATGTGTGATATCCAGAGACAGAGTATGCCCAATTTTCTGCTACCTCTCCAGATGCCAGGAAGGCCTGTTCAGAGGTCTTCTAACATGTATGCATTCCAAAGTGAGTGCTCACCTGCACTGGTAGCGCACACCAATGATCCTCCTTTGGCAGCTGTTGCAAGCAATATGCCAGTTGAACTGGTTTTCTGGCAAAAACAGCGTTTCCTCTGAAATGGGCATTGAGACTTCTGATGGACAGGAACCCAAGGACGGGTTCTGGAGGACAAGCTTCTCACGTAATTTCTGTTCAAGTTTCTCAACCGTTTCTTTAACTACTTGTTCTCGGAACTAGAATACAGAGCAGATTAACGGGAAAAAAACCTCAGTTCCAACATTGGAAAAACGTCTGAAGATATCAAATAGACCAGACACCTCACCATCTCTGGTGTAAGAACATCATAAACTGCTACTAACTACTGAACACATGGACAGAAATGTAACAAAAGAAGTTCTATTCTTTCCATGGGTACACTGAGGATACCAAAAAAAATGATTGTTGTGATGAGTAGGTTTCTAACCTCTTTCTTCCTTCTAACCTAAGCACAGAGATTTGTTCCTTTCCCTTACATCCTTAGAATAAGGCTCCCTCTTTTTCTGATACATCCCTATAGAAGTTAGGAGCTTTCTGGACTAGATTTACTCTAGTTTAGAAATGATTAGCTATACTCTTCATTCATCTGCCCCAGAGGCAGCAGCCGTGTGGGTTGAGCTTTCTATTTCTTCCACACTTCACCTGTGCCAACACAGCTGCTAAAGCCTACTCCAGAGAGAACACTCACTGTCTCCAGGTAGCTTGTGAACCAGTCTGGGGGCTTGTCCTGAGGCTGGTCTGTGTCACGGGAAGCAAGTGGAAACTGCTGCAAGGAAACACAACCCAAGATCTTAGAGAAAATATTTTTTTCTTCTGTTTGAAATAACTATTTTTTTAAAAAGATTTTAAATTTTTTTTAAGTAATCTCTATACCCAATGTGGGGTTCGACCTCACAACCCTGAGATCAAGAGTCGCATATTCTACCAACTGAGCCAGCCAGGCACCCTATTTAAAATAATTTTCCTGAAAAAAAAAATTTCCTGAAATGTAGTACTTTGAGGTTTCTTTTTTGTCAAATAATATAATCGTATGGCCAAAAAAACCTAATAAAGGATGCCTGGTTGGCTCAGTGATTGTCTGCCTTCAGCTCAGGTCCATGATCCCAGAGACCTGGGATCAAGCCCCATGTGGGGCTCTCTGCTCAGTGGGAAGCCTACTTCTCCCTCTCCCTCCCCCCAACTTGTGCTCTCTCACTCAAATAAAGAAAATAAATAAAATATTTTTTAAAAGTATGAAGAAGCATACAAGGAAAATAAAGTTTATCATCCTATTGCCCTCTCTCCAGAAGTAACCAGTTAAGTTTCTTTTCTTTTTTATTTAATTTATTTTTATTTTTTTAAAAGATTTTATTTATTCATAGAGAGAGAGAGAGAGAGAGAGAGAGAGAGAAAGAGGCAGGCAGAGACACAGGCAGAGGGAGAAGCAGGCTCCATGCAGGGAGCCAGACATGGGACTCCATCCCAGGTCTCCAGGATCACACCCCAAGCTGCAGGCGGCGCTAAACCATGGCACCACGGGGGCTGCCCTTCTTTTCTTTTTTAAAGGCTTTTTTTTCATTCATTTGTCAGAGATACAGAGAAAGAGAGAGAACACAAGCAATGGGGAGTGGCAGGCAGAGGGAGAAGCAGGCTCCACACTGAGCAAGGAGCCCAACTTGGGGCTTAATCCCAGGGTCCTGAGCTGAAGGCAGATGCCCAACTGACTGAGTCACCCAGGCATCCCCAGTTACCAGTTTCAAATAGGCAGAGGGGCATCTGCCTTTGGCTCAGGACATGATCTTGAGGTTCTGAGACCAAGCCCTATATTGGGCTCCCTGCTCAGCAAGAAGTCTGCTTCTCCCTCTGCCCCTCTCTCCGGCCCTCCCCACTTGTGCTCTCTATTCTACCCCTCAAATAAATAAATAAATAAAATTAAGGGATGCCTGGGTGGCTCAGTGGTTTAGCATCTGCCTTTGGCTCAGGGCATGATCCCTGAGTCCTGGGACGGAGTCTCTCACTAGGCTCTGCTTCTCCCTCTGCCTATGTCTCTGACTCTATCATTAATAAATAAATAAATTTAAAAAAATAAAAAAGGGATGCCTGGGTGGCTCAGCGGTCGAGCATCTGTTTTGGCTCAGGGAATGATCCTGGGATCCTGGGATCAAGTCCTGCATCTGGTTCCCTGCATGGGGCCTCCTCCCTCTGCCTGTGTCTCTGTGTCTCTGCCTCTATGTGGTCTCTCATGAATAAATACATAAAATCTTAAAAAAGAAAAAAAAAAGTCAGGCAGAGATGGTAACAATAATTCCCAAATCTTTAATGGACAATTCAAATGTTATACCGGAGACAATGAGACAGAAGGCTAGAAAAACTGTAGAGACAGGTCCTATTCCCTTCATACCTGTGCTGCAGGCTCCTCTGGGGTCTTCATGTCTGATCCTAAGACCTTCACTAGTGACGAATAATGTGCAAGTGGCTTCTTCCCTGCCCTCAGGACTGGCCGTTTTTCTGGTACAGCTGGTGGCGGGGCTTCATCAACACGGGAGCCTTCATGGACTTGCATCTGCAGTTGGTTTCCCTGCTTAACTGCCATCTGAAAGCATATGGTATGAAATAAAAACATTGTGTGATTCTTCTTTCCCAAATGAAATCTCAAAGACATTTAAACAGAACAGGTATGGTGAATTATGCTGAAAATATCAGGATTCACCTTTATTAAATCACATGGTATATAATATGTAATAGCCCACTGTTTTTTACCAAAATGTTAACTAGGAATGGTTTTATTATCAAAAACACAAAAGTAGATTTAGGATAGCACTTTATTATGTGAGATATTCTCACTGACTAGGTTAATACTTTTCTGTTAAACTGGTTTTTTTTTTTTTAATTTTTATTTATTTATGATAGTCACAGAGAGAGAAAGAGAGAGAGGCAGAGACACAGGCAGAGGGAGAAGCAGGCTCCATGCACCGGGAGCCCGATGTGGGATTCGATCCCGGGTCTCCAGGATCGCGCCCTGGGCCAAAGGGAGGCGCCAAACCGCTGCACCACCCAGGGATCCCTAAACTGGTTTTTATGTAGGACAGCACTTAGGGATTTGAATTCCAACTTTTAAAAAAAATCAATCCTAGACTACCAGAACCCAAGAAACTTAAAGTTATATCCTATAACTAAGCATTTATTTTTCTAATAGTATTTTGGGAAGCATGGTTGAGTGGTTACCTCTTTTGAAAGAGCATCTTCTTAAAAATCCTATTTTGAAAACTCTACTTCAAGGAACATTTGAGGTTCCATGAAGGTTCTCCAGTGTCCAAAAAGAGATTAGGGGTCAAGTCTATCAGTTTTAGCTCTCCCCCTTTGTAATCCAGTGATAAGGAGAACTGTTCTTTTATCTATTTTTACACATCAGGCTTTTAAGCTTCCATTTAAAAATAGCATTCTATGCCCAAAAAGTTTGAAAGGTATTATTTTAAGATGGGGATCAGCAAATTTTCTTAAAGGGTCACGTAAATATTTTAGGCTTGCAGGCCATATGGTCTCTGCTCAAGTCTGCACAAAAGCAGCCACAGACAGTATGTAGTCGGCATGGCTGGGTTCCACTGAAACTTTATTTATAAAAGCATATGGCTGGCCCACTGGCTAGTTTGCCAACCCTTATTCTAGACCATAAGCCAAGAAGCTGATAGTAAACTGTATGGTACACCTGTGGAAAAAAATTGCTCAAGAAATCACTACAATGAAATGTGTCAACATATAAACATGGGATCTTAAGTATCATATAGCAAATACTATGTAAAAATGTCTATAAAAAGTCTTGCTTCCTTTTTTTTTTTTAAAGATTTATTTATTTATTTATTTATTCATGAGAGAGATAGAGAGAGGCAGAGACACAGGCAGAGGGAGAAGCAGGCTCCATGCAGGGAGCCCAACGTGGGACTCGATCCCGGGACTCCAGGATTGTGCCCTGGGTCAAAGGCAGGCGCTAAACCGCTGAGCCACCCAGGGATCCCCAAAAGTCTTGCTTCCTGAGACAGGGAGGCTTATATAACATCCAGGTTCCAGAGGTCTGAGATTTTTTTTTTTTTTTTTTTTAGAGTGAGCGAGCTGCATGCATGCATGCATGTGAATAGGGTGGTGGAGGGAGGAGCAGAGGGAGAGTGACCAGCAGGCTCTCTGTGCGCAGCAGGGCTGGATCCCAGCACCCTGAGATCAGGATCTGAGCATAAGGCAGACTGAGCCACCTAGGCACCCCCTGGGGTCTGAGGTTACTGACTAAACAGGCAAACAGTGATTATGGGAAAGAGAGGAAACCTGTAGAAGACTTTTTTTTAGTGAAACTACTGTAGCTTCTGAGAATAGAGAAAGAGAAAAGCGAGGAGTAGGACAAGGGTGAAAGTGTGTGGGGGACAGCATGTTACAACAGCTTAAAAGCAAAGAAGAGATGGGGTGCCTGGGTGGTCCAGCTGGGTTAGCAGCCAACTCCTGATTTTGCGGTCTTGAGATCAAGCCCCAAGTTGGGCTCTGCACTGGGGGGGAGGAACCTGCTTAAGATTCTCCCTCTGCCCCAGCCCCTGGCAGCCATGTGCTCTCTCTCAAAAAAACAAACAAAAACAAACAAACAAAAAAACCCAAAACAAAACAAAAAACAACCAAAGAGGAAATAGGAAGACCACATGGAAACTGGGGAAGAAGGAAACTGTGAAGCATGAGATTACTAAGAGATGAATATCTCAACTAAGAGAAACCAAGGAAGGGCCTGAATGTCCAAAATGAAGAGACTAGCTGGTAAATAAGGATTTCTTAGTAAAAAAACAAGACTGGTTAAACTGTTGAATCAAGTGGCACCCACAATGGCAATCTTGACCCGGCAACAAAAAGAGTAAATTCAACTCCCAATTAAAGAAGTATCTTGCCTTGGGGCACCTAGGTGGCTCAGTTACGCATTCGACTTTTTTTTTTTAAGATATTTATTTATTTATTTATTTATTTATTTATTTATTTATTTATTCATTCATTCATTCATTCATTCATTCATTCATGAGAAACACAGAGAGAGAGGCAGAAACCTAGGCAGAGGGAGAAGCAGGCTCCATGCAGGAAGTCCAATGTGGGACTCGATTCTAGGCATCTGAGGTCATGCCCTAAGTCAAAGGCAGACACTCAACTGCTGAGCCACCCAGGTGTCCCAGGATTTGACCAACTTTTGATCTCAGCTCAGATCTTGATCTCAGGTTTGTGAATTCAAGCCTCACTTTGGGCTCCACAATGGGCGTGGAGGCTACTTTAAAAAAAAATTTTTTTTTTCCCTCCCTAAACCAAAAGTGATTACAGAAAAGAGTTGAAAAAAAAAAAAAAAAAGAGTTGAGTCAAGGACTAGAAGTTCATAAAGATAATGAAACTTTAAAGAAAGAAGATGAAAAATATGAACCAGAAAGCATCATTTCACAGTTATTTTTATTTTTTAACTTTTTTTTTTTTTTAAGCAGGCTCCACACCCAGTGTGGAGTCCAGTGTGGGGCTGGAACCCACAATTCAGACACCCAAATGACTAAGCACCCAGGTGTCCTTTGTATTTTTAAATGCTATGATGGTGAGGCTAAGACCAGAAATGACAGAGAACAGTAACTAGAAAGAACCTTTACATCAGGGGTTTCCTTTTACTGAGTGGTATGCCCTACACTCACAATCTCTCTAAAAATCCATTTTGCTGTATTTCATTAGTTTCTCCCCATGGCTAATGGAATTCAGGTTCAAGTTTTAGTCAATAAATATTTTTAAAATTATTTGAAAGTAAGATGAAATGACCATTACCTTAAGTGCTTCCTCATACTCTCCTAAAAAGACAAAGAATATAGATTGTGATATTTCTTCACCAGCCCAAAAGATTGTAAGTACAGCCAACCCTTACTTTTAAGAATATTTTGCTTATAATCCTTATACATGAACAACTACTACCTTTTTGCTGACAAACTCCCTTCCCATCCCATTGCAAATAGAAACTACTTGTAGATTAGTTCTCCCTCTTAAGTCCCTTCCCTCTCTGCTATTGGAGCCTTCCAGCTATGAAACTTCAATCCAGCTGCCTTGCACTATGTTTAGTGAATGAAGCTCAGGACACAAGGGAGTTCATAGGTAGAATTAATATAGACAGACCTCAAACATATGTAAGTTTGATTCTAGACCACCGCAATAAAGCGAGTATTGCAAAAAAGTAAAATGAATTTTTTCGTTTCCCAGGGCACATAAAAATTATGCTTATATTACCTGAAATCTATTAAGTGTGTAATAGCATTAAGTCTAAAAAAAGATACGTACCTTAATTTAAAAAAACTTTGTTGCTAAAAAATGCTATCATCTGAGCTTTTAACAAGTCATAATTACTGATCACAGACCATAATATATATAATAACGAAAAAATATGAAATATTGTGAAAATTGCCAAAATGTGACAGAGTGAGCAAATGCTGTTGGAAAAAGTGATGCAGGGTTGCCAGAAACCTTCAAAAAAATTTTTTTTAAAGGAGGATCTTAAAGCATAATAAAGCAAAGTGCAATAAAAATATATATATATATATATATATATATATATATATATATATATATATAAAACTGTCATTAAAGCTGGTTAAAATAAGCTTTTGAGGGGCTAGCCTGGGAACCTAACCTTCAAATAGAATATTGTTCTTATGGGAAAAGGTGCTCCAAGCTCTGACAACCATTTTATAAAAAAGTTCTAGAATACCACTTTGTATGTTCATAAGTTGACATTAACATATATACGAAGTCAGGGACACAGGCAACACCAGAAATGGAGTTGTATATGTTGAACTGGGAGGCATATTTTCAGAAGATTAGCATCTTAATATAAGAGAATCTTCCATTAAAGCTGTCCTTAGGTTCCCATCAAAGGCACTAATCTATATATAAAATAAAAATCTGTGATGTAACTAATGCCCATGGCTGAGTGAGTGCAATGTCCATTTACTGTATAGTAAATTCCACTCTAAAATAAATATTGCAGCAAGATCTGAGGGTAAATGGAAATGTGTATGCTCATGAACAGACTATGGCTTATAAATAAAGCTGAGCAGCCTTCTCAGGAACTCACCTTGACTGTTGATGGATACCTGTAAAATGACAAAACAACAGTGCATTATAAACTTTCTGATAATTGACCATTTTTATTACTAGGACCATCCTCACAGATAAGGTGTAGAATCTCAGATTGGGGTTCAGCTTTTCTAGAATCATGAACTATCTGTGAATGATAATTGAGGACTTTTTTTGCTTAAGTACTGTATCCGCCTTTTATTTCAGGTATATTAAGGGCAGCATAATACAGCAAATAAGAGCTTGGGCTCTGGAGCCAGAAGGTATGGAATGAACCCCCACTCTGCTATTTCCAAGCTTTTGCGCTTCTGGGCAAGTTACTTAGCCTCTCTGGGCCTCAGTTTCCTCAAAGAAAGCTAATAACAGCTAATAACAAAAGACAGCTAATAACATAATACCTAATACATAGTATTATTACTAGCCTGACATGCTGTAACCACTCAATAAAGGTTTGCCATTATTTTTGTTATAAGCTAAATGACAGCTTGTGATATATTTGAACCATATCACTATATAGTTTTAAGAGTTATCTCTCAAATTTCCTTCTTCAATGTTGCTTATTTCTCAACTCCATTTCACATGCCACAGTCAGCTTGGAACATCAATTATCAAGTACATTTAAAGTACCACACAAACAAGAAAAACACTAGTCTGAACTCTTCGATCTGCCGTCACTCTTTTTTTTTTTTTAATTTATTTATGATAGTTACACACACACAGAGAGAGAGAGAGAGAGAGAGAGAGAGAGAGAGGCAGAGACACAGGCAGAGGGAGAAGCAGGCTCCATGCACCGGGAGCCCGATGTGGGATTCGATCCTGGGTCTCCAGGATCTCTACCGTCACTCTTGAGAAATAAGATCCTTATTCAGGATAACTAGCCATGGGTATCATCATATACTTTACCTCTTCATTTTCCTCATCCAGGTATTTTATTTGAATAGTGGTCAGATCAAATGAAACTTTTACCTGCAAATGAAATGTACATCCTATATGATCAAGATATCAAAAAGGCAGGTTATAACAGAAACTCAGAAGTCATAAAAGAAAAGATGGGCCTATTACATAAAAATTAAACATTTAAATGGCATAAAAGAAGAAAACTATGTACAAAGTCAAAAGACAAAGAACAGATGAGGAGAAATATTTACAACTCATAACAAAGGCCCATTATCCATAATACACAAAGACCATCTGCAAAACTGCTAATCGTTAAGATTAACAACCCAGGTAAAGTGGGCAAAAATGTATAGAGATTTCATACAAGAGAAATCAGAAACAAATATATGAAAAGACATTCAACAACCTTTACGGTAGGTAGAAAAATGCAAATTTAAACAATGAGATGCCATCTTAACAGAATGGTAAAGAAATTTTAAAGCCATAACATCCAATGTTGTCAAATATTCAGGGCATTGTCATAATTTTTCTCTTCTTTAATTAAAGATTTTATTTTATTTTATTTTAAAGATTTTATTTATTTAGTCATTCATTTATTTATTTATGAGAGTGAGTGACCAGCATGAGCAGGGGGAGGAGCAGAGGGAGAGGGAGAAGCAGACTCCCTGCAAGAGCAGTGAGCCCAGATGCAGGGCTTGATCCCAGGACCCTGGGATCATGACCTGAGCTGAAGGCAGACTCTCAATGAACTGAGCCACCCAGGGGCTTCTTGTCATACATTTCTATGAGGTGCTACAATTGTTCTGCAAAGCACCTGGCAGGATCTATTATAATTTAAAAATATGTGCATTATGACTCATTAATGTTTCTTTGGCAACTTTATCCTACAGAACAGTGCATAGGTTATATAGACAAGGAGACCTCTCTTATAGTCTACTTCAAGTGGTCAAAAGCAAAACAACAACAACAAAACCCTTTTGACCTTGAAGGCGCTGAGTAAGTGAAATAACAATAATGAACTTATAGATACAGACAACACATTGCTGGTTACCAGAGGGTGTGGGAGGTGGGTGAAACAGGTAAATGTCTCAAAAGGGTACAAACTTCAGTTATAAAATAAGTAAGTCCTGGGGATGTAATGTACAGCATGGTGAATACAGTTAATACTGTGCTGTACAGCTGAAAGTTGCTGAGAGAGTAGATCTTAAAAGTTCTCATCACAAGAAAAAAATGGTAACTACATGTGGTGACAGATGTTTACTAGACTTATGATCATTTTGGAAAATATACAAATATAGAATTGTTATGCTATACACCTGAAACCTATATAAAGTTATAGGGCAGTTATACCTCAATTAAAAAAATAAAAATAATTTTTAAGTAAGAAATGGTTAAATTATGGTATGACAACATCAAAATACTGTGGATAATCCATAGCCTTATTATTATTATTTTTAATTTTTATTTATTTATGATAGTCACACACAGAGAGAGAGAGAGGCAGAGACACGGGCAGAGGGAGAAACAGGCTCCATGCACCGGGAGCCCGACGTGGGATTCGATCCCGGGTCTCCAGGATCGCGCCCTGGGCCAAAGGCAGGTGCCAAACCGCTGCGCCACCCAGGGATCCCCTATTATTATTATTTTTAAAGATTTTACTTATTTATTCATGAGAGGCACAGAGAGAGAGAGAGAGAGGCAGAGACACAGGCAGAGGGAGAAGCAGGCTCCATGCAGGGAGCCTGATGTGGGACTAGATCCCAGGTCTCCAGGATCATGCCAGGTCTCCAGGATCATGCCCTGGGCTGAAGGCAGCGCTAAACCGCTGAGCCACCGGGGCTGCCCCTAATCCATAGTTTAAAAAAGGATGAGCTGGGCAGCCCCCGTGGCGCAGGGGTTTAGTGCCGCCTGTAGCCCAGGGTGTGATCCTGGGGACAGGGGATCGAGTCCCTTGTTGGGCTCCCTGCATGGAGCCTGCTTCTCCCTCTGCCTGTTGTCTCTGCCTCTCTCTCTCTCTCTCATAAATAAATAAAGTCTTAAAAAATAAAATAAAATAAAAAGGATGAGCTGGAGTGTGTGTGTGTGTGGGGGGGCATGCCTGGGTGACTCAGTTGGTGTCTGCCTTCAGCTCAGGTCATGGTCCCAGGGTCCTGGGATTGAGCCCCGCCCTGCTGAGCAGGGAGTCAGCTTCTCCCTCTCCCTCTGTCCATCTGTGTGCTCTTCTTCCTGTCCTATAATTAAATCTTAAAAAAAGAAAAAAAAGATGAGCTCAGATCCTTATCTATTGATTGAAAACTATATATAATATACTGTTAGGGGAAAAATAAGGTACATAATTATGTTTATAGTATGATCCTAGGACGAAATCTGTATGCCTACGTATCACACAGGGCTGTTAGCACAGGTTACCCCAAAGATGTGGGAACAGTGGATGAAAAGGAGGAAGGAATAGAGGAATAGTAACTTTTTCTTTATATATGTTTGGATTGTCTTACTTCTTATAATGGGCATGTATTACCCCTTCATAATTTAAAATTTACAATAAAGAAGGCAAACTATCAGTTCATCTAACTACTAGAAAAAGAACTGTGTTTGATTTTCAGGTCATTTGACAAATAGACCAAACTTTCTGGATAATCACCTATTTACAACAATATAAAGAAATATTTGCTGGAAGACAACTAGATCAGATCATCTTGTGAAGTTTCCTCATCATTTTTTTTCCTTTTTAGTTATCATTCCACATAACCAAATAAAAGCAGGCTTTTACCAAAGGGTTTTATGGATAAACACAGTTACACAGGAAGTAAAACATTCACTCTACTACAAACCAAACAAAAATAGAAGAGTACAAAGGGCAAACCAAGAGGAGGAAAGGCATTGACAACAACACAAAACAGATGAGCTGCTAAGCACCTGTAGTTCTTTTTCTGCAAGGTTTTTTTTTGTTTGTTTTTGTTGTTGTTGTTTTAAGTAGGATCCAAGTCCAGTGTGACATCACAAGACCTAAGCTAAGATGCTTAACCAATTGAACCACCCAGGCACCCCACTGCAAAACATTCAGGTACTTGACCTCTGACCTAGCAATAAAAAATGATCAGTTTGCAAAACATAAATCATACCCTGGGTGATTCACAAACCACAGAAACACAACTGCTCTCAGGCAGGTGAACATTTCTCTGGGGCTGATTAGGGTGGGGCCCACACCAATTCATTTCTCACAGTTTCTAAAATTAACAGCTTTCCTAAGTCCCAGCTGCAAATTAAGGAATTTGTGCCCTGGAGGGAGGTGATAGTGGTGGTGCATATCTCCTATATGAATACTGAAACCGTATCAAAAGTAATTTTCCAAAAGGCCTAGAAAAGGTAAATATAAGAGCTATCAAACAACACAGGCAAAGACAGCTATCTTTTGGGAAACGTAGGCTTAAAGGATGGAGAAACAAAGTAACACTTACCATAGCTTCAACATCAGCCCATGTTGTATTTTCTGGATCCGAAACCAGAAAGCTTTGAGTTTCATTTTTAAAAGTCACATTCAGAGTAACCTGTGGTTCCATGCTGTCGGGCTAGAATTAAGAGATGGAGGAAAGACAGAACACATATTAGAGACAGTTCTATAAACTGCATAAACAGCCATTCAACAAATGCTTGTGAAGACCTATACAGCCTAGGCTAGGAAGACACTGCAGTGAATAAGTGCCTCTGCTCTTCTGCTATTTATAATCTGTTCGGTGGCTACCACCAAAATCTGTTTTTATTGTGTTTTTTTTTCAAAGATTTATTTATTTTAGAGAGAGAGTATGAACGTGGTGGGGGAGGACAGAGGGAGAGAAGCAGACTCCCCGCTGAGCAGGGAGTCCCACCAATCCCACGACCTAGAGACCAAGACCTGAGCTGAAATCAAGAGATGGACACCCACCCAAGCACCCCCAAATCTCACTAGTAAATTTTGCTGAGACATTGTAAATTTTGGTCATACAGAAATCATTTAACATTTGTAAAATCCTCTAGGATTTTATGGAACTTATTATTAGTTAATTCAATACATATTACTGAATATCTGCTAGTAGCAGGATACAAAGAATAAGACCCATTGATCTCTGCCCTCAGGGAATTTACAATCTCATACCTTGAAAATGACATTCTACATTTTTTTTCTTGGGAAAGCAGCCTTTTCCTAAACTGAGCAACCCAGGTTCCCTATTAGATCAGTTTGAACAATTTAGAGGCTAAAACACTAGTCAAGAAACTACACCTTTCATCCAAGTTCATTTTTTTTAATAGTTTTACTTTCTTTTCTTTTATGGAGAATTTCATACATAAAAGCGGAGAGTGATGGACATATGACTACAATCAATAATTCAAGGCTACCCTCATTTCATCTATACATCTGTATTGCCTCTACCTAATTTCCCCAATATAGACTGACAGTAGTAGTTTTTTTTTTTTTTTTTTTTTCTCTAAAGATTTTATTTATTTATTCATGAGAGACACACAGAGAGAGGCGGAAACATAGAGGGAGAAGCAGGCTTCCTGTGGGGAGCCCAAGACAGGACTCAATATCCGGACCAGGGACCACACCCTAAGCCAAGGCAGATACTTAACCACTGAGCCACCCAGGCATCCCAGTTATCTTTTTAACCAAACTGTAGTAATCTAATTAAAAAATTATTACGGGAAAATTTAAACATATACAGAAGAATGAATAATATACAATGAACTCCTAAGGATCCAACTATCTTCCATAATTATCATCAACAAAGGACTAATCTTATTATAGCTATACCCGTTTGCTATTGGATTATTTTGACAGACAGCTATTACTTCATCCTTAAAATTGAGCATATTACATCTTTAAAAAAACCAAGACTTTTTGAAAACTACAATCCCATCATCATGCCTAAGAAGTTAGGAATTCTGTAACTGAATGTCTACTCTGGTCAGTTTTTTTTTTTTTTCTTTAAAGGTTTTATTTCTAAGCAGTCCCTGCACCCAACATGGGGCTTGAACCTACGACCCCCAGATCAAGAGGTGCATACTCTACTGGCTAGCCGGCCAGACGCCTGTCATTGTTTTGTTTTTTTTTTTAAATTTTTTTGTCATTGTTTTTAATTAAAAATTTTACTTACTGATGAGTCGTTAGATTGGTTTGTTCTTATGACTTTATGAAAAAATCATTTGTTAAAATCTAAACCCAAGCTGTAATGAAAAAGGTCATCTTTTAAACATTCATCAGCAAATCTTTAAAAAAACCTCTTCAAATAACCAAATTCTGCTCTAGGCACAGGGGGTAGGAGATGAACAAGACTAAGTCTCAGGAGTTTGCAGCCTAATGGGGGAGGGAGCAAAAGGGTTGAGAAAAGCTGGGCTCTAGACACATGGCTAGTACTATGTGTCAGAGCTGTAACAGTGAGCAAATCATTTAACACCTGAACTTTTAGCTCAACTTGTAAAATGAGTCAAATAAAAACATGTGCCCAAGTTCTCTGAAAATATTACTCAAATATAAAAATCATTACAATAAACCAGTCTTTAGAAGCCAAATGCACTTAAAAAGGACATTGAACTCTCTGAAGATCAGGGATTTTTTTTTTTTTAAGATTTTATTTATTTATTCATGAGAGACACACAGAGAGAGGCAGAGACACAGGCAGAGGGAGAAGCAGGCTCCATGCAGGAAGCCTAATGTGGGACTTGATCCTGGATCTCCAGGATCACGCCCTGGGCTGAAGGCAGGCGCTAAACCTCTGAGCCACTCAGGGATTCCGGATCAGGGATTTTTTAAATCCCAAAACAATTACCCTTCAAATTTTTCCATTCTTTGTCTTTTAAAACCTAGTTCTTTGAAAATGTTACTCAAATATAAAAATTATTACAATAAATCAGTCTTTAGAAGCCATATGCACTGGCCTGTGTGGAACAATAAAATTGAGATTGTCCTTAAAAAGGACATTGAAGGGGATGCCTGGGTGGCGCAGCGGTTTGGCGCCTGCCTTTGGCCCAGGGCGCGATCCTGGAGACCCGGGATCGAATCCCACGTTGGGCTCCCAGTGCATGGAGCCTGCTTCTCTCTCTGCCTCTCTCTGTGACTATCATAAATAAATAAATAAAATAAAAATAAAAAAGATTTTTTTAAAAAAAAGGACACTGAAAAAAAAAAGGAAAAAAAAAAAAAAGGACATTGAACTCTGAGTATCTGGGATTTTTTTAAATTCCAAACAATTACCCTCCAGTTTTTTTCATTCTTTGTCTTTTAAAACCTAGAGCCAAGTTCACTACCAAAAGAATTACCAGTTTCTAGCACTAATCTGCCGTCATCTAGTATTCATTCAAATAGAATGCAATTCTTCCGGTTCTTAAAATTTGGACAGATTTTGTCAACTACCCAGATTCTTGGGCAAAAAATATTAGGGAAATGAAGTAACTGATTCAGTCAGCCAAAAAGTGGGTATTCTGAAACACATTCTCACTTTTCAACTTCTGAGAAACACTTCCACACTTTTGAGAGTCCAGAAGGAAGGAAACTAATCTAACTCCCCTTTTCTCAAATTACACAATTAAAATTAGTTTAGATGCCTTGGAGCTCATCCAGCTGGTAAGCTAATGAGAGAAAACAGGAAGTGGGGGACTCTAGCTAAGCTGGATCACATCCAGGTCTTCATAAAGAATTGCCTATTTCTTTTTGGCTTTTATGTGAAAATTCTTTCAGCAAGAGCATTAATCTTGAACTGGTAGAAATACCAAAGCTACGGTTAGCACCATCTGTACTTGTAGGTTTGAAGCCAGTAAAGTCAGGAGGCTGGGACCGAGGCCTTCGGCTTTCAAAACTGCCATTATTGTAAGTTCACGCCACTGGCTCACCTTTACTTGGCACATGTCAGTTTTTCCTCTACATCGGTTTTTCAGGATACCAGAAATCCCGTTAATGAAGCAGATCTGGGAACCCGAGCTTTGGTTACTCTCTCTGCCGAAGGCCTGACAAGCTATCTGGGGGTTAAAATATGTGACTAATAGCCGGGTGTTGGACAAAAAACAAAAACGGTGTCTTTCCAATACCAGAGATCCCTAAGGAGACTTTTTTTTTTTTTTTATGAGATTCTCAACAAGCAGAGGGGGATGGGATTGGGAGGCTGTATGACAATGTCATTTTTTTTTCTTGCAGATTTTATCCTAGTCTTCCAGTTATTGTTTCCAAACACTCCTCGTCCCCAAAACAGTGTCACCACCCTCTGAGGACTCTCTCATTTTTTTTCCTGGGCCCCCTTTTTGCTAGGGAGTCTCGGTCTTCCATCAGCCGATGTTGAGCGTTCTGAGCCACGGACCCTCATCCTTCTGGCAGTGTCCGCCCCCTCGGCCACTCGGCCGGAACGGCTCTCTCATCTGGTCACTGACAAGACTGGCTGCCCCCAGACACGGAAAAAGTCCCTTTTTTGCAGGATTCCTTCTTTAAGCTTCCCCAACCGTCTCAATGGGAATGTGTTCCCACCCCTCCGTAACCGCAGCTGCTTCCTTACCAGCTCCCCGCCCCCGGGGGGCGCCTGCCGGAGGCCAGTGCAAGAACCGTTCGCTGCCAGCTCTGCTGCTATCCCTGCGGGGCGAATCTAACATGGCGGACAGAAATAGGGCCTAGCCCCCAGTTTCTGAGTTTCCGACAAGGTGATTGGCTCTTACCAATTGTCCCTCAAAACTACTGTCCCACTGATTGGTCGAGCCTGCGTGGCAGGGGTGGGGCAAGAGCTGCCAGAACAGCACAACAACAACAAACATTGAGGCAGAGGGGCGGATCTACGAGTGCGCAGTCGTGGGCCAGAGCCCATTTCCCCTTCCCAGGTAAAATCGGCGCCCACCGCATTCCCTCAGGTCACTGACCTTAGTGGACTCCGTGCCCGAGACTCGAGTGGCTATATGGGAATTGTAGTCCTTCTGGGACTCGTAAGTTCTTTAGCCTATTCGCTGCTCTCAAGATACGAAAACCTAATAACACTCCAATCCATATCTGTTGACGTGCGTAAGCGCACGAAGCTCTTCAAGCTACCCACTGGCTTGCCGTGAGAATCGCGCCCGCTTCTGCTGTCAGAAGCGCCTCTCCAAAAGACTACAGTTTCCGAGGAACACCGTGGCGAAGGCCTTTCGATCCGCAATGCATGCTGGAAATCGTAGTTTTTCCCACACAATTCTTTTATTTACCTAAACTAGAGCCTTCCATTGCGGCGGAAATGGTGAGGGAACAGGGCCCCTTTTTGCGACTGTCTCAGGCACTATCTTGCGCTCATATCCGGGCCTCAGGTACTGATTCCAGCCCTAGTCCAGAAATCTCTGTGACGTGATAAGCCCCGAGTGGAAACCCAAGGTGAGGGGGCAGGGGCCTAATAGAAAACTTGGGAAAAATTCTTTCTCTTCCGTCTCTTTTTAATTACGTTACTCAGGGAAAGAGTTGGTGACCAATCGAGAGCGCGGAGAGACTCTCGGCTCTTTCTGCTCCGCCCTTCCGCAACGTGTTTCGATCTCTGATTCTGAGAGGTTCTTGCTGAGTGGCTGCGGCCAGTTTCCGTGGCAACAGGAAAGCGCGGGAATTACAGGCAAATTGAAAGTGCGACTGCGCGGCGCGAGCTCGCTAAGGCTTTCTTGAGTGAGGGCAGTCCGGGGGTTTCTCATATAACTGGGCCTCTGGGCCTGGGAAACCCGGACGCTTCGCTCTGGGTGAAGGTGAGAGACTCTACAGGAAGGGAGAGGACCCACGGGGTGCTCCGAGGGCAGGAAACAGGTGTGGAGTGTGGGAGAACAAGATGGGTATTACCTGGCAAGGACAGGCAGAGGGTGGAGCCTGAGAAGCCCAAGACGTTGAGTCTGGGGAAATCGCGGGGACGGGGGCACTTTGTGGGTCCCAGAGCAGGGGAGGCACTGAGGATAAGGCAAGGGGGGCAGGGTGTGTCCGAGGGGGAATCCTAATAGCAAGAACTGGGGGATGTATCCTGAGGGTAACATCATAGTATAAAATGACAGGCTGGTATATGTGAGATGGAGATCTTGAGGAAGGAAAGGGCAGGGATGTGTCTGAGAATAAGAGTAGGCTGGATTTTGTTGGAGGGAGAGTCCTTTTTTTTTTTTGGAGGGAGAGTCCTTAAGAAAGAACTGGGTTCATACGCGCTTCTGAGAAGGGACAAGAAGAAAGAGGGGTGTCGGTAGTCACAGATGCTACTGGCGTGGACGTGCCGAAAGAGGATCCTGAGATGAATGCAGACCAGTGGGAAACACTGGGGAAGGGCAGAGGTGGGGAGCGTTGGTTGGAGTTGGTTTTGTTTTTGTTGAGTTTGGTTTTCAGCAAGAAAAAGAAAAAAGCCAGGATGACTGGAGAAAGATGAGACTACCATTACCTAGTCACCCTTTCTTTTTCTTGGAGAGAGGAAAAGACCAAAAGGAAGTGGTTTGCAGGCTTTATGTGGGGGGTGGGGGCGAGGGAGGGAATTTAAATGGTCTTAATTACAAAAAAAATTACATTTCAAAGTAAAAGAAATGAAATTTTGTCATTAATTCTGTGGTTGGTATAATTTTAAAGTACTCCAATCTTACATTTCTTATTTAAAAATGACATCTAATGAAACTAGGCTGTTCTTATAAACCTTTTAAAGTGATGTGTGTGTAGGCATGCAAATATACACATAGATATTTAAGCTTATGCTTTAAAATTCATTGGAACAGGAAAAAAAATGGATTTATCTGCGGATCGTGTTGAAGAAGTACAAAATGTTCTTAATGCTATGCAGAAAATCTTAGAGTGTCCAATATGGTAAGTAGACAGAAGAGTTTATTACTTTAAGATCCTTCCCTACTTGATTATATCCTATGCAAATAAGTAGAATTGACCTTGCATATATTAAGGAGAAAAAATTGTAATATCTATGAAGATTAGACTATTAAAGTTGTTGCTTTTCTTAATTCAGGAGCTTTGGAAATACAGGATATTACTTTTTCTCCACTCTGCCTCTTCCCTTTTTACTCCCTTAACTTAATTCAGCCCCCCATCTTTCCTTTCCTATCTTTCCTTGCTTACAGATTGTCTTGATTGATTCTACTTTGGGGCAGAGATCTGGTTTGGAGTAAGTGGCACTTGGCCCTTTCTTTCTTTCTTTCTTTCTTTCTTTCTTTCTTTCTTTCTTTCTTTCTTTCTTTCTTTCTTTCTTTTTTCCTTTCCTTTCCTTTTTCCTTCCCTTCTTCCTTCCCTTCTTCCTTCCTTTCCCTTCCCTTCCCTTCCCTTCCCTTCCCTTCCCTTCCCTTCCCTTCCCTTCCCTTCCCTTCCCTTCCCTTCCCTTCCCTTCCCTTCCCTTCCCTTCCCTTCCCTTCCCTTCCCTTTTTCCTTCCCTCCCCTCCCCTCCCCTTTTTAAAATTTTGGGCAGCCCGGGTGACTCAGCGGTTTAGTGCCACCTTCAGTCCAGGGCGTGATCCTGGGGACCCAGGATCAAGTCCCACATCGGGCTCACTGCATGGAGCCTGCTTCTCCCTCTGCCTATCTCTCTCTCTCTCTCAGGAATAAATAAATAAAATCTTTAAAAAAAAATTTTTTTTTTTAAATTTTTATTTGTTCATGAGAGACATAGGCAGAGGGAGAAGAAGCAGGCTCCCTATGGGGAGCCTGATGCAGGACTCAATCCCAGGACCCCATTATCTTGCCCTAATCCAAAGCAGACCTCAACCACTGAGCCACCCAGGAGTCCCGCACTTGACCTTTTCATCCAGCCTCTAAAAACAACTCAATCACTTAGAATGGACATAGTTAATAGTAGCAAAGTAAAATCACAAATGATTTGTGCTTGTGAGTGGGTGGGTCTTTGATTGAACTAGCCCCTAAAAATAAAATCTTAAAAAAAAAAAACAAAAAACAGAATACATCAAAGGCTTCTTTTTGAGTTGAGGCATAATTTACATACAGTGAAATGCAGAGATCTTGAGCGTGCAAGTCAATGAGTTTTGACAAAGTGTATATATATCTGGGTAACACAGTCAAGATATAGAATATTTCTATCACTCCAGGAAGTTCTCTTGTGTGTATTCAGGAGCTTTTAATTGCTGACCCTCCGCGACCCTTGGAGGCCTATGGCTAGAACTTTATTTCATTATAATTAGTTTCTTGTATAATTTTATATTTTTTATTTTACTCATTTAAAAGCATTACTCTGAGAAGGATATTCATGGGCTTCATCAGCTGCCAAAGGGAGTCTATGGCTCAACAAAGGTTATGAACTCCAAGCAGTCAGGAGATGATATCTATGGCATTTGCTAAATCTACAAAATAATTATACCTCAGAGTGTCTTGGTGAAAAGCCCTAAAGGAACCTTAGAAAAATTGTTGTCTACGCTTTTCTATCTTAATCCTTTTACTCTGGTCAGTCTGGCCTCTTGGGTTTTTTTTTGGTTTTTGTTTTTTAAGTAGGCTCCACACCCAGCCCAATGTGGGGCTTGAATTCACAACCCTAAGATCAAGACCTGAGCAGAGATCAAGAGTTGGATACTTAACTGATTGAGCCACTCAGGCACTCATGGTCATTCTGGCCTCTTCTTCAACATAAAACATACTCTCCTGCCTGAGCTTTTATGCTTGTTCCCTCTGCCTGGAAAGTTCTACCCCTGATAATTGCTTGGCTTACAGATCTTAATTAAAATACCACCTTTTAAAAGAGGCATTTCCAGACAGCCCTATTTAAAATGACAATGGCAACACCATTACACCCAGCACACTCTTTATTTCCCCTTCCTGTCCCCTCTCCTGCACCCCCGCATAGCTTTTATCTAACATTCTGTAAAATTTCTTCTTTTTACCCTTATAGGACTTAAATTCCATGAAGGCAGGGGTTTGTTTTGTTTACTTCTGTCTCCTTAGTTAGAATAGGGCACCCGGGGCATAGTAGCCACTCACTAAACGTTTGTCAAAGGTATAAAATAATAAGCTAAATTGGTTCTTTGATAGTTTAATGTTTTTTAGTATGGTGATGGTTGGTGGTGGGTGATATTCAAAAAATAAATTGGAAAGCTGCACCTATTGCCCCTTACATTCAATAAAGGAGAGTAACTTCAAGTATATTTCTCTTTGTACTTCAAAGTTGTCATATTTGGAGTCAAGTAAATAAGATTAAAGAAAATACAAGTTGTGTTTCCAGAGAGATACATGATTTATAAATAATCCTCCTCTCCCTTATCCCTCAACTTTTCAGCTAAATAAAAACAAGAGCTAAAGGGGATTTATAGCCTACTTTATGAATCATCAGAGCCAGAGAAGCAGGAAATGACAACTGGAAAAAAATTGCTTTAGAAAAAGCATAAAACTTACTCATGATGATTACAAAGAGTGATCAAAAAGTCCTCAATAGTGTGGCATTGGGGTCCATTTATTTTATGTTTCCATGAGACTCAGTCATAAAAGCATAATGTTCTTTCTCATTCTGGCAAATTAAACCATCAGTTAAAAAACCCAGATACGGGATCCCTGGGTGGCGCAGCGGTTTGGCCCAGGGCGCGATCCTGGAGACCCGGGATCGAGTCCCACATCGGGCTCCCAGTGCATGGAGCCTGCTTCTCCCTCTGCCTGTGTCTCTGCCTCTCTCTCTCTCTCTCTCTCTCTCTCTCTCTCTGTGTGTGTGACTATCATAAATAAATAAATTTAAAACAAAATTTAAAAAAAAAAAAACCCAGATACATGGAAAGTACAGATGCAAGAATGAAAGTTAATGCTAAATTTTCATTTTCAGTTAGCTATTGTGTTTTCCAGCTCATTTTTAAAAATCTATTTTATGTCAACAAAGACTTAGACTTTTAAACTAAAACTTTTCTTTAAAAAAAATTTTTTTTTTAAAGATTTTGTTTATTCATTAGAGATAGAGAGAGAGGCAGAGACATAGGCAGAGGGAGAAGCAGGCTCCTTGCAGGGAGCCCATTGTGGGACTCAATCCTGAGACTCCAGATCATACCCTGGGCCAAAGGGAGGCACTTAACTGCTAAACCACCCAGGCAGGGGATCTCTTTCCAGTCACCCATGTTGGAAACCCAAAATGCAAATACGCAGTAAGTCTAAAATATTGCCTGACGTGAAAAATTTAAAAATATTTAAAATATTTGAATGACTTTCATAGTAAACATTTACTTTTATCAGGATCTAGAAGAGGACCTTTTTCTTTTCATTCTCATTGCCTCAAGTTTTTTTTCAACAGTCCTTACCTTTTTACATATTGAAGTTTTCATCTTCTTAAAATTTATGTTTACAGAATGTTTGTATAGCTTGGCTTATAATTACCATACTGAAACATAATTATTTCAGAGTTGAGTCAGTGGTGAGA